AAAATCGTAATGATATTTTAGATTTTTATATGCTTACTTTAAGGAAGGTAGTCTATAATACATTTTCACAGGAATCACATAATAAACTAATAAATACTATTTTGAAGACTAATGAAACAAAAATGGAGTTTTTCATTTTGTTAACTAACTTTCCAGGTATAAGTCATCTATAGGAAAATATTAATGTAATTCAACTAATATATATCCTATTTTAAATTATGTAAAAGTGAGCTAAAATAAAATAATTTCTCCCCAGAAATATGTACTTGCTAACAATGTTTTGAAATGAGAACATTAGAATAGATGGTTGTTACAGGCTTAAATGTCTGCCCCCAAAAGTTTTGTGTTGAAGTACTAACTTCTAGTATCTCAGAATGTGACTGTTATTGGAGATAATGCCTTTAAAAGGTGATTAAATAAAAATGAGGCTTTTAGGATGGGCCCTAAACCAATCTGACTGATGTCCTTATAAGAAGGGAAATTTGGGCACAAGAGAGAGACCAGGGATGCACACAGGGAGGAAAGACCATGTGAGAACATAGTGACAAGGTGGTCATCTGCAAGTCAAGGAGAGAGGCCTCAGAAGAAACCACATCTACTGACACCTTAATCTTAGACTTCTCCAGAACTGTAAGAAATTTTTGTTGGGTTAGCCACCCAGCCTGTGGTATTTTATCCCGGCAGCTCTAGCAAACTAATACAATGGTTGGTTTGTCTTTTTTTTTTTAAAGCTAAACTTTAAAAAAGCCCTTACCTTTCATTTTAATCAGTTAAAAATACTTGCTGAGTGTAATACTTTTACTTTCTCACATTCAGCTCTCTAATATTATTGTTCTATTAAGCAACTTAGCTAATTCTGACATTTCATATAGAATCATAATGTTAAGGGGTTTAATGTGTATTTTTAAATGGGGAAACAGGATCAGAAATGGGAAAGGACTGGCCCAAGGCCAAAATTAACAAGCCCTATCCAACAAAAACTTCCCAGTCATTGGCCTTGAATAGAACTTGAAGGCTCCCCCTCCCCATCCCTGGAGCCCAGATGGATTGACTTTGAGTAGTAGCCTTACAACACCATTGACATCTCCCAGTCATTTCTAGCCACAGGAGGAGCCTGGTCATATGAGATGTTGCCATCTGGCTCCTTTTCTACTGACATTTTCTTAAGACTTCTCCCCTTTCTCTGCATTCTCCAAATGGTCTCAAAGCTTTGAGAAATAAAAAGTAGAAAATATTGTTTCATAAAAGTAAAAAATATTGTGAGGCAAAATATCTGGATTCTGGTCGATAAAACACATGAACTTGGGGGAAAAAAGTTCTTTCCACAGGACCCTACAGAGGTCATCTGTAGCCCCTTTGTGCTCATTATTAGGAAGTACTAATCAATCTGTGCGTCATCCCATGAACCAAAAGGTCACCGGTTCAATTCCTGGTTAAGGCACATACCCGGGTTGTGGGGCCTAACCCTAGTAGGGAGTGTGCAGGAGGCAGCTGATCAATGTTTCTCACGTTGATGTTTCTTTCCCTCTCCCTCTCTAAAATCAATAAAAAAATATTTTAAAAATATATAATAATAACGGTATGGAGGGAAATTTCCCTCCATACCATTCTTTATTATTATTTAGACATTATTTTGAAGATAGTTGGTTGCTAGTAATCCTGTATTTCAACAAATCCTCTTACATAATACCATGTAATCCCCTTAAGTAGAAGGGAAAAAAAAGTTTTTCCCCTTCACCTATCTTAAGTTCTTAGACTAACAAAAGATAAACAAGAGAAAAAAAGTTGGATTTATTAACGTGAACTGCATACACACACATACATTCAGACATGAGTTAGTCAAAGGGATAATTAGAACTTGAGCTCTACATATCATCTTAACAAAAGAACAATAAATTTTTAAAGAAGTAACACAAAAAGGACTTTGAGTTTCTAATGTGGCAAATTGTGTAAAGGAAAATATATGCACTGTATGGTAATAGCATGTTCAGTTTTGTAAGAAATTGCCAAACTGTCTTCCAAAGTCGCTGTACCATTTTGCATTCCCACCACCAATGAATGAGTGTTCCTGTTGCTCCACATCCTTGTCAGCATTTGGCATTGTCAGTCTTGTGGATTTTGGCCACCCTAAAGAACAGGTGTGTAGTGGTATCTTGTTAATTTGTAATTTCTTTATGACATAAAACGTTGAACATCTTTTCACATAATGACTTGCCTTTCCATATTCTTTGGTGAAGTATCTGTTCAGGGATTTGGCCCATTTTAAATAATTAGGTTGATTTTGTTTTTTTAAGAATTCTTTGTATATTTTGTAAAACAGTTGTTTGTCAGATATACATATATCTTTTTTTTATACATATATCTTTTGCAAATATTTTTCTCCTAGTCCATGACTTGTTTTCTCATTCTTTTGACATTGTCTTTTGCAGAGCAGAAGTTTTTCACTGTAATGATGTTCAGCTTATCAATCATTTCTTTCATGAATCATGCCTTGTTTTGTATCTAAAAAGTCATTGCCATACCCAAGGTCATCTAGCTTTTATCTTATTTTGTAGGTGTTTTATAGATTTTCATTTTACATTTAGATCTGTAATCCATTTTGAGTAAATTAATTCTTGTGAAAGGAGTAAAGTCTTTGCTTAGATTCTTCTTCTTTTTAATGTGACTACCTAGTTGTTCCAGTATCATTTGTTGAAAAGACTATATTTTTGCTCCTTTTTCAAAGATCAGTTGACTATATCAGTCTACTTCTGGGCTCTCTCTTCTGTCCCATTGATCTACTGTTTATCTGTTCACCAATATCACATTACTTGGTTAGTATAGCTTTATAGTTAAGTCTTGAAGTCAGGCAGTGTCAGTCCTCCAACTTTGCTCTTTTCCTTCAATATTGAGTTAGCTATTTTGTTTTTTTTTGCCTCTTCATATAAACTTTAGAATCATTTTGTTGATCCGCACAAAATAACTTGCTTGGGTTTTTATTGGCATTGTACTGAATCTGTATAACAGTTTGGGACAAATAGATGTCTTGACAATATTGAGTCTTCATATCCATTAACGTGAAATATCTCTTCATTTATTAACTTGCTCTTTGATCTTTCATTTGAACTTCATAGGTTTCCTTGTATAGAACATGTACATGTTAGATTTGTATTTAAGAATTTCATTTTTTGGCTGATAATGTAAATGGTAATGTGTCCTAAATTTCAAATTTCACTTGTTTGTTGCTGGTATATAGGAAAGTGATTGACTTTTGTATATTAACCTTGTATCCTACCACTTTGCTACAATCACTTATTAGTTCCAGGAGGGTTGTTGTTTTTTTTTGTCAATTGTTTCAAATTTTCTACAGAGACAATTATGTCATCTATGAACACACTTTTATTTTTTCCTTCCCAATCTTTATAATTTTTATTTCTTTTTCTTGTGTTATTGCATTGGCTAAAACTTCTAGTATGATATTGAAAAGGAGTAATGAGAGGGTACATCTTTGATCATGATCTTAGTGGAAAAGCTTCAAGATTCATTTACATTTTAGTAGGTGACTTCATTTCTTTTCTTAAGGCTGAATCATTTTCTATTGTATATACATACCACATTTTGTTTATCCATCCATCCATCCATCCATCCATCCAAGCATGGACATTTGGGCTGTTTCCACTTCTTGGCTATTGAGAATGCTGCTGCAGTGAACATGGGTGTGCAAATGTCTCTTCAAGTTCCTGCTTTAAGTTCTTTTGGTTCTAATTTCTCCACAGGATTACATATTTGAAATATGTAGTAAATAACTGGTGTGTTTTTTAAACAGACATCATTTTGTCAAAAATGTTTGCATAGATTTTTTTTTTTTTTAATTCAGCCTAGACCAGGAGGAATGTTGATAGAGTCAGGTGTTAAGAATTCTTTCTCCTTTGCTCAGTAGTCTCTTTCTCTGCCTCAATCATATTCTTCTCTCCCCTACCTACCTCAAGGGTAGAGGGACTGAGGTTTGTTTCTCTGTCATAGTTGGGATGAGGCCAAGATGTGAGCCCCACCTATGGGTAATCAGATAGGCTCTAAATGTTGTTAACATTATTATTTTTTAGATGCTCAATGCTGTAAATAGACAGAGTTCAGAGCATGTACTCTGCAGCCAGACTGTCTGGTATGAATCTCGGTTCCTCCAGCTACCATGTCATCTTGGGCAGATTTCTTAATTTTTATGTGCCCCACCTGTATGGCAATGCTAACACCTACTTCATAGAGTTCTTAGGATTAAATTAATACTCGCTAAGCACTTAATGTAAACCCTGGGCATACAGTAAATGCCCTGAAAGTGTTTGCTGGGTAAACTAAGAGTGGAGGGTGCCTGGTAACGCATTAGCATGAGCGGAGCGCTATCCGTGGTGTTATTGTACGCCGGTCTTAGTGCGTTTTAGGTGTTTTTAAGCGGCCCCACTCCATGGGAAGGATGCGTGTATCGCAGTTGGATTAGGAAATTCCACGGAGCATCGGTGACTGTGGGTTGTACGTCTGTTGGTCAGAGGTGTTCTTACACGTCAGGATGTAAAAGATGACTATCTAGTGCGTTAAAACAGGTGCCACACACCTGCCACTCACGGAGCACGGTCTCGTAATGAGGTCTGCTCCCAGCGTTTAGGTGGAGTTGTAAGGAGAGGCGTGAGGCAAGAGGGGGTGCTGCCCACCTCGGAACAGATCAGGGATATGGATTGCACACCAGTCGGGGTGCGGAGACCGAGACCGCGGGCGCGTGTGGAGTAGGAAGGTCGGGCCACCACCCCCGGGGCAGCGATAGCGGCGAGCTCGGCGCGCGTCGTGGGAGGTGTCGTTACACACTTCCTGTGGGTCTCGCGGACCACGGCGCGTTTCCGGTGCCGGCTGGAGCCCGGGGTCCGAGCCCCCGCCCTGCTCGCCGGCCCCGCCCCGCCCGCGCCCCGCCCCCCGCCCGCCCGCCGCGCTCCTAGCCTGGCGCGCGGAGCCCGGGGCGCACGGAGCGGCGCGCGCTGGTCGGTGGAGCCAGGCTGGCGCCCCCGCACCCCGCCCCGCGCTCGCCCGCCGCCCGCCCGGCGCCTTCCCCGCGCCACTTGCCAGCGCTCCCCGGCGCTCCGGCCGCTCTCCCTCCCTCCCCTCCGACCCGTCCCGCCCGGGCAGTCCGGCTCCCGCAGGCCCCCCCGCCGCCCGCGTTCCTATGGACAGACGCACAGACACCTGCAGGTGGGTGAGAGCCCGCGCGTGGGGCGGGGACGAGCGCGCCGACCCGGGCCGGGAGTCCCTTTGTGTAGGGGGCGGCCGCCCGGGGTCTCCTCTGCCTCCACCCTCGGCGGCCGCGCGGTGACCCGGCTGAACCCTCCTTTTGTCTCCTCTCGGGGGGGAGGTGGGGGAGGTCGAGAGTCAGGGCCGGGAACCCGGCGGCCGGACGTCGCCCGCGACGGGCTGGGGGGCGTGAGGGGCGGAGACCCCCGGCGGCCGAGGACGCTCCGGGAGCGAGCGCGGCGGCTGCCGCGCGGGTCCGCCTCCCGGGCACCGGCCCGCCGCCCAGCATCTCCTGTGGCCGCGGCGGCAGCGGGCGCGCTGCGTGGGTCTAGCTCGCCTAGTCGCGGTGTTGGGTCTGTTTGCGGGAGAGGAGGGCGGGAAGGGAAGATCAGAGCTGCCCTCGTAGTTTCCAAGTCTCGAGGTGGTGCTGGACGGAGAGGGGCTTTGCCCGACTCGCGTGTCTCCCCGGAGGCGCGCTGAGGTGCGTTGGGGGCGTGTGTGAAGGAACGTGCTTCGCCCGGTCCCTTATTTATTGTTTCTAACGGAGGAGAGCTTTCTCCGAAAGCTCCCCCCCCCCCCCCATCTGAGGCTGCGCACAGTGATTGGTGTTTGTTATCAAATACATCCAGAATGTATTGCCCTGGATGGAGGGAGGTTGGGCTGTCCAAAGCAAACCCAAATCAGAGAATGGTTGTGGTTTTCGGGTGGCTTGCTAGCTTGCTTTTCTCTTTTCTTTTCTTTTCTTTTCTTTTCTTTTCTTTTCTTTTCTTTTCTTTTCTTTTCTTTTCTTTTCTTTTTCTTTTTCTTTTTCTTTTTTTTCTTATTTTTCTTTCCTTTTCTTTATTTTTCTTTTATTTCTTTCCCTTTCCTTTCCTTTCCTTTCCTTTCTTTTTTTCTTCTTTATTTTCCTTCCTTTCCTTCTTTCCTTCCTCCTTTCTCCCCCCCCCCCCACCCCCCCTTCCTTCCTTGTTAAGATAGGCACTTAAAGGCAAGAAATAAAAGATGGCCCTAACTGGTTTGGCTCAAGTAGATGGAGCATCGGCCTGTGGACTCAAGGGTTCCAGATTCGATTCCGGCCAAGGGCATGTATCTTGGTTGCGGACACATCCCCAGTACTGGGTGTGCAGGAGGCAGAAGATCGATGTTTCTCTCTCATCAATGTTTCTAACTCTCTATCCCTCTCCCTTCCTCTAGGTAAAAAAAATAATAATAAAATATGTTTTTTAAAAAAGATATAAAAGATGAACGTGACTGTGATTTTTACAGTTTTTTATATCTGTGTATGGTAAAGTTTTGGGGTAAAGTTTTGTTGTTTCCCAGACTCCTTGGGATTAGCATGACAGGATCTTCGACCTATTAAATTAACAGTTAACAAGCGAGTCAGGCAGGGACAGCTTCCATGGTGGAGGTTAAATTAGAGTGCAGTAAATATCTGTCTTTCCATTCAAGCTATCACCTTTAATTTTTTCTCATTGGAGACAGGAGATCTTTTACAATATATGGAGAGAGAGCGTGAATGTTACCACTGATTTCTTCCCCCCTCCTCTGCGATTGTTTTCCCCATTTTATTGTTGTATTGTCAATCAGCGAGCTAGACAAGACGCCTTAATGAGCAATTAGTTAGGAGTCATCTTTATTGCACAGGGGTTCAGAGCAGAATACCTCTGTCAAATTCTGAACAAACACAGGAAGGAGTATTCCCTTTTTATATCCTTCTAGGTCTTTGTGTAAGATATTTTTGTAGACACCTTGTAATCTTGAGTATATATCATATCTAACAAACACCTGTCATATCTATACAGACACCTGTAATCTTGGATACATAATGAACAAACACTTGGCATGAGAATATGGGAATTATTATCAGTATTAGCCTATCAGCCCCTTTAGATGGCTACCTTGCAAGGTCAGACAGTTAAGTTTATCTTTTCTATTATTTAAGCTAAAAAGCAGAGTTATTTTTACAGAATAAGAGACCATCTAAAAATAACAGAGTTGACTTATGGAACAAGGGTCTAGCAAGAAATAGCAGAGAACTTCAAAACAGCAGTTTCAAACAGTTTTCCCAAAGGAGAGATCATTACTATGCTTCATTATATGTATTTGTGTATTCGTTGAATATAACCCATCAGTTGCGTTATTTACAGGGGCAGGCAAAAGTAGGTTTACAGTTGTTGGTATGGAAAAATACATGCAGGTTATGGTTATTACAATAGCTTTATTAACTGCTTCCTGTATTCACAACTGTAAGCCTACTTTTGCCTGTACTTAGTGGATACAGTGTTTTGAGAAAACTACTGTGATATTTCTGATTTGTATTATTTTTCTGGCTATGTTTCTTATAAACAGTTGCTATGTATTCGGATACTCAAATAATAAATGAAGTTGAATAAGCACCCAGAAAATTAATTTTTACAGATTCAGATTTTTAATGCAGGTGATATCTTTGTATTAACGGCAATCTGCTGCTCACTTCTGGAGACTTCTACTTACTTTTACCTGTTGTGTGAGAATCCGTATTGACAATCTTCACTTACCAAGCATATTATAAAAACTGTTTGAGGGCACTCAGACAGTTATATGTACAACTTTATGTAGAAAATGGAAGCTTTCTTAAAAAATGATTTTTAAAAAAAGCATTATCTAGATTTGAAGGAATCATGGTGGAAAAAATACTTAAATTTTCATCAAGATGTAGAAATTCATCAGAGAACAGTATACAATTTAATTCAGTTTTAATTAGGCAAGCTGATTTTTGTCATTATAAAGAAGAGACAGACAGGTAGGTATACCTAAAATGATGTCTTTTTTCTAGAAGACAAATTTACCCTAGATTCTTGCCCTACTTAACATTAACAGATGAATATCATTACATGCCAATTTTGTAAATGTCTGGAGTGTATATTTTTGTACACTTAAAACCTAGAAGAGGCGACATCTCACAACAGTCACGCCAGTGAGTTGATCAAATTTTACTAGTTCCTGCTCCAACTTCCGGTCTAGATTAGATAAAATGAATTTAAAGTCTGCACAAAGGCACAGAAGCTCAGTGTCAAAGTTGCAGGTAGGCCCTTGAGCAAGGTTCTTCTTCCTTTTCCACTAAGGGTGGCCCAAAGAGGATAGGTATTAAAATTTGTTCAGGTGTGTCCTGCATGGTGGAATAGAGTTCTAAAACACGCCCAGAGTTTCAGCTCATAGATAGACACTCTTCATCAGCTCTTAGAAGTTTTAAAAAGGATAAGCCAACAAATTGAATTGCTTGTTTATGCGTTTATTTACAGGGCTGTCAGTCTTAGCAATAAGGTTTAACAAAGAGTCACTGTGTAAGCTAAACAGTAAGAGAGTGTGGCCTGTGTTGAGAATTGCTTGGCAAAGTTGTAGTTGTGCTTAATAGTTCTCTGGGATTGGCAGTGTAGAATCTTTATGTGGCTGGCTATTTTTTGTTGTTTTGTTTTTAGACTATAATTTGTAGATGTTAATTTTTTTATTTTTGTATAATTTTACAATAATATTCTACTGTAATCACACGCATTCCAGAGAATGTTACATGTTGTCAACTGATTTTCTTCTGGTATGTTGTTGTTTAGGAAGGCATATAAATTATTTTTCACTTTTCATGGTTGACTTTTTTCCCTGCTGCTTTTGATATTGTGACAAATCAATGCTATTTCAAGAAATTTTAAATTTGTATAAAGTTGGATTTCAAATGTAACTGAGCAGTATAAACTGACGTTTACCAGATTCTCTTTCAAAACAACACTAAGCTGCCCATAGTTAAATTTGATAGGCTTTAAAATTCCATAGGCTTCTCTAGCCTTTTCCTGTTTGTTAGTTCTCATGTAGGACCTTTAAAAGAAACTCAAAATGGCCACTTTATGTTAACTGGAACCCTCAAATGACTAGTATTATCATTAGTAATAATCAAATGGAAAACTAAAAAGTAACAATTTTATTTTTTAAAATAGATTTATGACTTTCAAATCATTTTTCATGCAGTTTTTTGTAGCCTCGTCGGGAAGCAGGTCTGACTGAGAGGTGTGGACAGTGACCTTTTATTCCAGCCTTTATGGTCCTGCGTTGTTTAAGAATAGTGCAAACTCTTGCTGCTTGTAGAAAATGTAGAATTTATTCTTGGATTAATATTCTGCTACCAGATGTATGAGGCTGGCTCTAAAGAAGCTTTTGCTCTTAATACTGTCAAAAATAGAGAAGCTGAAGATTGGAGAGAAGCCATTTATTTTGAACAGTTTATTTTCTGACAGTTTGTGTTTGTAAAGAAACCTGTTCATAAAATTTGCTTAAGAGATCTGTCTATATAGTTGCGAGAAGAAACCCCACAGGTTTCTTTTTTTTTCTTTAAAAAAAGTTCCATCAAGTTTAACTCTTACATGATACTTTTTGACTTTGCTTTTGATTAGTTGATTTATGGACTTTATTTACCAGCATGTTGGGAGAATTCTTTTGCTATCCTGAAATTGCCCTCTGCGTGTGCTCTGGTCTGTTTCCTAGGTAACAAGTGCATTGCATAGATTCCATAATGAGGACTGTGGTTGGCTAGTTACAGTGTAAATTCTGTTGTTTGGTAATGCTTAGTCTCAAATTCAAATAAAGGTCAAGAATCCAAAAGTACTGAAAACGCAAATTTTTGAATTTTATCTTGTATTTAAGGTCAACAAAGTTTAAAATACTTTCCTGGAGAAAGGCATATTATGCAACAGTATTCAAGCTTGTTTTGCAAAGTTTTAAATAGTTGGAAAGCTTTTTGACTTTTTCATATTGGTAATACCAGTGGCTTTAGTGACAAAGAAGATGTATTTCAGAAACACTTTATCACACTTAAAATAATATAGGAAGCAAAGGGATGGGGTCTAGGACAGCAGTAATTGGTCCTTTTGTACTGAGAGAAAAACATCATCATATATGTCTCAAAAGATAAACTGTGCAACTTGGTGTGAAATGTA